AGGAGCTCCGTTAGCAGTGGAATCTGGCTGATCCATCTTTAGACCACTCCTTCCTTGGTGCAAGGAAGGTGATGGTTTTGAGTACCTAACAGACACTTGATGAATCTTCAAGAAGCAAAGATGTGGTGGGTGATCTTCCAACACAGTAACCCTTCGGTATACGGCTAGATTGGCATGATATGTTGTATCCTAACGATCACTGCATTTCTTTATAAATGCTCTCAAGCTGGTCCAAGATCTAATCAAAGTGAAAACAAACAAGCAAACCCACTGCTGTCAAGTCAATTCCAACTCATAGTGACCCTATAGGGTAGAATAGAAATGCCCCATAGAGTTTCCAGGAAGCGACCGGTGGATTCAAACTGCTGACCTTTTGGTTGGCCGCTATAGCTCTTAACCACTACACCACCAGGGTTTCCAATCAGGAGTGCTATAATAATGACCCATTCATGCGTCCTAGAACCCAGCCTTGTTTTTAAATCCACATGATATTTGATTGTTCATGCATTCAACAGAAATACGTCATCATCCTTTGCACCACAGAGCACACAGCCCTGTGGTATCGACTTCATTCTCTGTGTGTTCTCGAAGATGATCTACATACAATTAAACGCCTAATGTAATTGTCAGTCCTAGAAAATATAGGTCACTCTTCCCTGGCCTCTCAGCTACTGTGGTGAAACCAATGTTCTCTAATTCCTTGGGTGTTTGTGTTTACAGGCGGGGGAGCCAGTGCCAGGCAGGATTGGAGCAGGTCTTCCCTCTCAGCGGGTTAGCAGTTGCCTTGCCTCGTTTGCAGCTTCCAGGGCTCTGGATTGTCTTGCTTGTTTTCACCGTCTTCCACACTCCTCTGTGCCTTTGAGAACAGCCTTTTGTTCGCTGCCGCCGCTGACAGGAGGAATCTGCAGTCTCATCAGCTCTAAACCAACCTCCCACCCCCGCTGGGCAAAGCGCTGCTCTGAAAGGGAATCGAGAAAAGGGATGGAGGGGGCTGTGGGGATGGGGACAGGCAGGGTGGACGGGTACACAACGTTCTGAACAGGGGGAAGGACCCGCAGGGGCTGCTCTGCTCCACTGGCTCAGTGACCTTGGGCCTATCTGGGCCCCATGACCTCACAGTTTGAAGGAGCTGGACTAAAGGATTCTGAGTCTTCTCCAGCTATAAATATCCTGAACCCTAATTATGACCCAAAACATCTATAAAATGAACAAAATTGTACTGACTTTTGCCTCTGAGTAGCGAAATATTGGAAGATTTTTTCTTCTTTCTTCTCTTCTGCATTTTGCAACTTGCCTGCAGATAAGTTTACATTACTGCTATGTGTGTACGTGTATATTCAACAAGCACAAAAAGTCTGTGATTCTAGAAAGAAAATGGAAAAATTACCATAAAAAGGAAAAATGAAACAAACTTTTAAAATAAAGGCAGAGGACAAATAAAAGCCCAACTGGAGGCCCTAAATCCAAAAAGAGCACAGAAACTCTCCAGGGTCTAGGTGAGCTGCCTGGTTTCCCACATCCGGGCTGAAAAAAGTCTTTGTTGGCTCATCTCGCGCCATCTGCTGGTCATCCCAGAATCAACCGCTCAATTTGGTTCGCAAAAGGGTTTCAAAGTAATCTGTGGTGAACCTTGATGAGGTCACATTTAGGATAAAGATCACAGTCTTTTTTTTTTTTTTTTTTTACGGGAAGATTTCACCCCATAATTACCTCTAGAATTCACTTTTGATTTTGGTTTGCAGTAATGATGGTGACGGGGACGCCCGCGTCAGTTACTTCCCTATGAGGCCCAGGGTGGTCACCCAAAATATGTGCAGTCCCTCAGGCCATGAAAACCTCTTAGGAACGATTCTTAAGCTGTCCTCCTCACTGCACTCAGGTCTCGTGTAGAGAGGCAGGCACTCCAAGGACACCCCCTTTCAGCTCCACCGTCTTTGAGCAGGTTGGCTTCATCTCCATCTGTCTCTGCCTCCTGCGTTTCCGCAGATCTTAAACCAATTGATCTTTGGCCTAATTTAGTCCTTCGGGGCATTCCCACATGGCCCCAAGCAGCGCTACGTACTGGGATGTCCTCTCCTTCATCTTTCCACCCAGCACTAACCCTGCTTTTCCACCTCCCCAATGGAAGTAAGCCCCTCACTCCCTGTGGGTCCCTTCTGCCAGGCACAGCCTCTTCCCAACGTGACCCTTCTCACAGAAGCTGCCAGGCAAAAGCCCCTGTGCTATCTGGGGCTGGTCTTTGGGTGCAGGACAGTATGCATATCCAGAGAGACTTGTTTAAGCCACTCTCTGTTGTAGACATTCAAGAGAAAGAATTTCCTTCCGTCATTTCTAATGCCAATCCTGAAAAGCACCTCTCAAGCCTTCCTGTACTTCATCATGATCTTCACGTGATCTTTATTAGTAAAGAATAGTAAAGAAAGATCCATCCTTCTGGGGTGAAGGAGCAGCCCAGGAACCTCTGATTGGTCCCGCTAGGGAGGGGAGGTTGGCCATATTTGGAGAACAGCAGGAGTGCCACCTCCCCCTGCAGCTCCTATATAGCTGGCCAGGCCCTGGCCGACAAGAGGCTGTGCTGGAGGACAGCGCCAGCCTGTGGTTCCAGAAGCAAATTCCCAGCAGCAAGCCCAGGTACGTGGGGAGGCCAAGTTTTCGCGCAGATTCCATTTCTGGGCTCAGAGTTTTTCGTTTCTAATCCGGTCTCTACCCCAGACTGCAAATCATGCAGTCATGTCTTTACTCCCGCTTCCTGGGTTGGGTCCCAAGTTGGGGAAGACTTGTGAGAATGTTTAGGTATCACTGGGTTAGTATTTCTATTTTTTGGTGCTACAGTCAAATGTTGTTTTAGGGTTGGCTGATCGGGATTTTGTTTTGCTTTTAAGTCCTTGCCAATAAGAAGCAATTTCTTTCCAAGATCTCTGTGCTTTTTTTTTTTTTAATGTGACTACCCCTAATGAACTATTATGCTATTATTCTTATTTAAGATTTCTTCTACCAAGAGGTGTGGGCTGATGACATGGGGTGTGGTCCCTTATTTAGGAGCTTAATGAATGTCTGCTGCACGCTTGGGTCGCTGGAGAAAGGCAATGTGAGCTCACTGTGATTAGGAGGTGGGGGGCTGGAAGGCTGGGTATGCCCACCCTGGGGCAGAGACTAGGCAATGCCTGCAAGCAAAGGAAGGTCAGGGGAGGCCTCTTTGCATGCTTCCAGAGAAGACCAGACATGGTCTGAGGCTGTGTTTTACCTTTTTTTCTACATAAGAACCAGTGCCACACTATAGCTGAAAATGGGAGCAGAGATGTACTAAACACCCTCAGGAGTGCTGCGGAAGGATGACGGAGAGGGTGCTGGGGGCTAAGCAAGGCAACTTCTAAGCTTCCTTCCAGCCTGAGCATTCCATGGAGTCACAGTCAAGTTTTATCTAGGAGACAGCCTAAGCATGCTCCATATAGTAACTTCCTGTTTCCCAGATCCACGGGACAAAGGTCCAGGTGCTGAAATGCCCTGAAGACTTGACCCTGGGAGGTGGATTTCTACAATAGCTATTGTCGTTTCGGAAGCCAGATGTGACAAACTAAGGCGGCGGGGTGCAGGGGGGTGTCTCTTAGTACTCCCTTCATCTCATTTCCTCTGAAATGCCTCGTGGACCCTGCTCTTTGCCCAGGGGCCATGGGGACTGCCCTTCATGCTCCGTGAGTCAAAAGCACAAAATGTGAGCACAATGCCCCTCCTCAGGCCCAGATAGGCAGCAGCGAGGCCCCGGGGGGGGGGTGGTGGTAGAGGGGTGGGGAGTGGGGACCACGTCACACAGAACTGGATTCAAATCTGCCACCCACTCTTGCACACCCCTGGGCAAGTTACTTAAGTTCTCTGAATCCCAGTAGAACTTTAACTTATAAAATGGTGATAATAATGTACCTACCCCATGTGACAACTAAATTAGACCATGTCAGGAAGGGTTTAACACAATGGTTGACACACAGTAAGTGCTCAGTAAAAAGTTACGGGGACTGGGAGGCATTGTCCCCAGGAGTGAGATTGGAAAGGATGCCTATAACATCCTGGGGAAGGCAAGGGTGCACTAACTACCTCTCTTTCTCTCCCTCTCTCTCTCTCCCTCTCTCTCTCTCCCTCTCTCTCAGCCTCTCTCTCTCACCCTCTCATTACCATAACGCCCTTTAGAATCAGCTAGTGGATAGCAGAATGTGCCTGAGACAGTGCCAGCTTACAGCAATAGACAATACAGAGGGAATATAAAAAACACAATCTAGTATGAAAAATTCATCAAGCTGCACACTTGTAATTTGGGCACTTTTTTGTATGCATATTACTTCATTAAAACTTTTTTTAAAACATTAGTAAAGAACTTAAGACTTGAATAAAAGGAAGGACATTTAAATTAAAAAATATATATATACAATCTATGCCCAGAAGCCTCTGATTCAACTATTCTACTGTATTTTCCTCTGGGAACCCTTGATTTGAAGGACTTGGGAGTACCAAGGAAACCTATAGGTATTCAGTCATTACTTATTTTCCCATGCATATGCAAAGGCATTTATAATTGTCAGTTACAGCTTCTTAACTGCCTGAGAAAACCAGGTTCACCGCCCTGCATGGATGTAATTCCAGGCAAAAGCAGACACTTGATGTCTGAGTTAACCCTGTGCATCTCAAGCCTGGGAAAATTATTATGCTTTTGGGAAACGGTGGTGCAAACAGGTAATGTGCTTGACTGCCAATCAAAAGGTTGGAGGTTGAAATCTACCCAGAGGCACCTCAGAAGAAAGGCCTGGTGATCTACTCCCCAAAAAGCAGCCACTGAAAACCCTATGGAGCACAGTTCTACTCTGACACACATAGGGTTGACTATGAGTCAGAAATCAACTGGCAACTGGTTAGGTTTTTTGGAAAAATGTAAATGGATGAGGAGAGAGAAGACTGGTACCCCACTGGGGAAAGTGACTGCCTCGGCCTTTTCTATTGCAGATTCCCACACAATGAGGAAGCTTCTGGAAGCTTGGTGGCTGGCCATTGCCTTTGTCTTGCTCCTCAGCCATCTCTCTGTGGTCACCGCGAGAGGCATAAAGCACAGAATCAAGTGGAACCGCAAGCCCTTGCCGAATACCCCCCATGTCACGGCGGCCCAAGTCAGCGATGCCCGCCCGGGAGCCTTCATCAGGCACGGCCGAAAGCTCGATATCGACTTCGGAGCGGAGGGCAACAGGTACTATGAGGCCAACTATTGGCAGTTCCCTGATGGAATCCACTTCGACGGCTGCTCTGAGGCCAACATGACCAAGGAGATGTTTGTCACCAGCTGCATCAACACCACGCAGGCCGCGAACCAGGAGGAGTTCTCGCGGGAGAAACAGGACAACAAGCTTTACCAGCGCATCCTGTGGAGACTGATCAGGGAGCTCTGCTCGGTCAAGCACTGCGATTTTTGGCTGGAACGGGGAGGAGGACTTCGAGTCAGCCTGGACCAGCCCGTGATGCTCTGTCTGCTGGTTTTCATTTGCTTTATGGTAAAATAAGCTTGCAAAGAGGTGGTAGCCCCAGAGATGAAGCAGGTGAGCAAAACTCGGGGTGAGTTATCCCGGCTCCCCGGCCCCCAAACCCACTTCTGTCTGAAGGTACAGAGAGCAGTGATTCATCAGCACTTCCTAGATTGCCCCCGGGTATTCACTCTGGTATTTGACTGTATTTGTTAAATGTATGTGCACGGATCCCCTCTCTGCTCTACAAGAGAGCAGAGCTATGGCTAATTCATCCCTGATTTCTCAGTGGCACAGTGGTTAAGCATTCAGCTGCTAACCAAAAGGTCGGCAGTTGGAATCCACCAGCCGCTCCTTGGAAACCCTGTAGGGCAGTTCTGCTCTGTCCTGTAGGGTCGCTATGAGTTGGAATCCACTCCACAGCATTGGTTTTTTTTTGGGGGGGGGGAAGGGTGGGGGGGGGTGTTTAATACAGGGCCTGGCACGCGGTATTATGCAATAAACATTCTGGGAACAGATAAAAGAACGTGCCAGGAACTGTGCCAAGCCCTTCACAATACTCCCCAACAAACTTTTGAGGTAGGCGTTATTCCCGTTTTATAGATGAGGAAACTAAGGCTCAGAAAGGTGGGGTGACTCACTCAGAGTCACACAGCTAGAACGTGCCAGAGCCTCAGTTCACCTCTGTCTGGTCTGACACCAGGTTTTCTGCTCTGTCCATCCCCAGAGCTGTCTCATCATCACCTTCTGGTTCACAAGGCCCCGATCCAAACAGGTGTCTCTAAAGAAACTGGTGAATCTCCCCCTACAGAATTGAAGGAAAACACCTGAGCTGATGGCCTTGTTGTACTTGGATCCGTCGTTACATGGAGATTTAGTTTAATTCCTCGAATCAAACCAGAGGGGGCGTGGTGGTTAAAGAGCTTGACTACTAACCAGAAGGTGGGCAGTTCAAATCCACCATTAGCTCCCTGGAAACCCTACGGGGCAGTTCTAGTCTGTCCTATGGGGTTGCTATGAGTTGGAATCAACTCAACGGCAATAGGCTTGTATTTTTTGTTTGTTTTAATTAAACTAAAATATAATTAAGGAATTAAACTAAAACAGAAACAAAGCTAGGCCAAGGGTCAGAAATCATAGTGTAAAGGAATACGGCCAGCCTGAATCCCAGAGTAGACTAGATTTGCAGCAAGATGTTTCCACAGCACAAAGTTTTTTTTCACAAGAAGGGTGTTTGAGGCTTCCACCTCTGTCATATTCCGTGTATTTAAGTAAATATTTTTAAATGACACCTTTGTTTTCTGATGTTCCCCTAACCCTAAGTGCATGCTTTATGTACACACAAATGAGTATCTTTAAATACACCTCTCTTTACACACATGTGGTCACACAATCTCCATCCGTTCTTTTAACAGTACTTTGGTGAGGGGGGCGCCACTTCTGTGAACCACTTAGCTCCACAAAAAAATAATTACTCAGCAAAAAGGTTAGAAAGAAACTAGTGTTTTTAGGGAGATGCAATAAAGAATTTATTCGTGCCATAAGCAAAAGTAGATACATCACCTTGTTAGATTATGTATCTACAATGAAATATGAATATAGTTGAAATAAAAATAATGAATGTAGTGCTCCAAGACGCCCCCCACAGGCACTCTGGGGTATTCTCAGAGTTTCTGAACCATATTTAGACGTAACAGCTGCTGGATATTATCAGTTCTACTTTAAAGAGAGTCTGTAAGAAAAAAACAATGTGTATAGTCAGGCAATTTACCCTAAGTATTTTAAAACATGACTGTTGATAACAGCACCGCTTGTGCTTGAGTTGGCCCACGATCAGTGTTCTTGTCAAAGATACATTTGGAAGGTTTGAACATTCAAAGCGGGGTGGAGGACTTGGGGGTGAGGAAGCCCAGGGAAGCAACCGCCCCCTTGGTTCATGGAGGAGACGCCCGCCCTCTGCTGAAACAGCACAAGAAGAATGCAAGATCGGACTTGGTTCCTCAGGCTGTGAGGACTTCACTCACCTTCCACTCCGCAGTCCTGCTGAATTCTAGATCAAAGACCAGGAAAAAAACACAGAGCACACAGAGGTTCTCGCTTGCCTGCCAATTCTTTATTTTAAAAAATAATCATAACAATAGCGAGCAAGAAAGAAAGAAACGTATTTAAAGGCTGATGTTGAAATTTCAAGCCCTGGCTCTTAAGAGTTTCATTAAAAGGGTGCACGCAGACACAGAAGCAAAATGACTTTCGTTTCTTATGTTAAAATGCTTAGGTCATTGTTTAGCTCATTTTCTATAATTGCTGTCTCTTCTCATTTTGTTAACAGTGGCTCCAGAAACCAGGTTATGTGGGGAGTGAGTTCGTACTTGGTAATTCAAATGCAAAACTTATTTATGGAGCTTTTCCTTGAAACTGCTGTGCTTGAACGTCCTTGCTCACATTTAAAGACTTAGTGGGTCTGATGGTTACTTTAGCAACATTTTACTGAGTGCCTACTATGTGCAAGACATTGTGAGGGGCTTTTGGATTACTCTTTATATAATCATTTTTAAAAGTAAATAATTTCACCAACCATTACTTTCTTGTACCTCCGACTCCTGACTTTGTAAAATATAAACTTATTGTAAAAGTGACGTTAAAATGACCACAGAAATCCAAAACAAAGAATTGCTCATAATCTCATCATCTAATTCTATGTGTTCATTTCCCCTATTGCCCTGGGGGCGCAGTGGTTAAGAGATTGGCTGCTAACCAAAAGGTCAGCAGTTGGAATCCACCAGCTGCTCCTTGGAAACCCTATGGGACGGTCCGATAGGGTTGCTGTGAGTCCGCGGCAGTGGGCTGTAGCCCTCTAGTTCATATCCATTTGCATATACAAATGTATGTATTTGCAATAAATACTATAGGTGAGATCTCATATTTTAAATTTTCAGTTAACTTTATTCTAGGCTTTTATGTTTCATTTTCTATGGTTTTTGCTTTCTTGTCTCCCCCTCTACCTTCCCCAGCCCTGCCCCCCACCCCCAGCCTAAGGTGTAACCACTTTACCTTTATTGTGCTCAGATACATAGGCAAGGGCTTTTTGTCTGATGATTCCTTTGAAAAATACGATACTTATACATATTATACTTATCCTGTACAATTTTTTTCTCTAATGTAACTCTGTATTATGAACCTCTCTCCAGGTCAACAGGTAGCTAGTTAACTAACGCATCCCTTTTAATTACTGTATCATATTCCATAGTACCGGTGTGCCATGGTTTATTTAATCATTTCTTTGTTAAGGGACCTTCAGGTTGTGTCCAGTTTTGCCACTGCAAACAATAAATACCTGTATACATACAACCTCGCCTCTTGTGCTTTTGTTGCTGTGGAGTAGTTTTTATACACATGGAACTTCTGGAACAAAACCTCTGTGTCATTGAAATTTTACTGGATATGACCAGGTTACCTTCCCACATAGCCGCCGGAACAATTTCCATTCCCACCAGTGGTGGATGAGAGAGAGTGGTGTTAACTTTTAAGAGTTGCTATGTCATTGAAGTATGAGAAGCTGCTTTTTCCGCAAACGTTGCTTGAACATCTTCTTTCCTTTGCAGACAACATGCCTAAAGCCTCCCAAGTAATTTCTGACCACAAGGGCCATTTGAAAATCTTTAAACCATTAGCAATTTCCCTTCTAAGCCTGGTCTTTGGCCCAGCCTGTCTGCATTAGAAGCCAAGAAAACAGGCAGTGAATCTGCAGGTTTCCCAATCAGAAGGCAGTGTGTTTGCACAATGCCACACTCCTCGAGCAGCCAGAGGAGGCGGGGGATAAAGAGTCCCATTGCTGCTCCTCCTTCAGGCTTGGGTAGAAAATCAGCACCTCCCAGAGCCCCCTGCAGTCCACCTTGTACCTGACAACATTTAGAAAACAAACTCTCTGGTTTTTTTAAGGTGCATCTCGGGCAGCGACCATGGTTTCTCCCTGAGCAGCTCACACTCTCTATCCGATAACAAGTGACTGGTTTGGGGTGGTGGCCGACCGGGTCAGAGGGGTCTACTTCATACCTGTGGTGTGGTCACGTCTTGCACCTCCACCCTACACTTTTTTTTCATGTGTTGTATGTGTGAGGCTAGGCAGGGATGCCCTATGATGCCCACATGTGGCTGTGGGCGCATTCTGAAGTTTGCCAGCATTTCAGAGATGCTAACTACAAGGCACAGGTGCTCACATGCAGGTAGGTCGGCACAGCGGCACACCACGCCTGCCGAGACAGTGAGCAAGAAGACTTACACAGGGGCAGCATCACGACACCTTTCAGTTTCCCTGGCTGTTCTGTTGAAGACGTCTGGCGATCCAGGCTCATGCCGGAACTGTGTGCTTGCTCTCTCTGCCCCAGGCCATCCACAGGGCTCTCTTGTCTCCTATTCTGCTAGCAGGAGACCCCCATCTCAGGAGGCACCCATCTTCCCTAGCGGAGCCAAACTCCCATGTTACTGGGAATGGCACACCCTTGTCAAGCAGGGATGAGTCGGACACAGGGTACTGTGTCTTTGAGACATCTCTGAGTCCATCCTAGACCTTCCAAAGCTGTCCCAGAAAAAAAGACTCAGCTGTTTCCCTTGGCAAATGGGAGCTGTGTTAGTTCCCGATATCTGCCATAACAGAATACCACAAAGTGGGTGGCTTTAAAGAACAGAAATTTACAGCCTCTCATAGTTCTGGAGGAGCCCTGGTGGCACAGTGGTTAAGAGCTTGGCTGCTAACCAAAAAGTCGGCAGGTCAAATCCACCAGCTGCTCCTTGGAAACCCTATGGGGCAGTTCTACTCTGTCCTATAGGGTCACTATGAGTCAGGATCGACTCGACAGGGACTTTTCTTTTTTAATACTTCTGAAGCTAAAAGTCTGAATTTGTGGCGTTGGCAGGACCATGCTCTCTGAAGTTGCTAAAGGAAAGTCCTTTCTTGTCTCTTCCAGCCTCTGGTAGCCCCAGGCGTCTCTTGGCCATCCCTGACTTATAGATATATCTTCACGTGGTGTCTTCCCCTGTGT